AGTCAGACCTTCTCTGTCGTTGCCTTCACCTTATGGATCACGCTGCCCCCAGAGGGGTGCTTAACCCCTTCACTCTTGACATCCAGGAGGGCCCTGAAAATGTTTCTTTCCCAATGGGCACTTAGTTGCTAATTATTGGGCAACATATTTTAGCTCTTTTTGTTATAATTTAATGATGCCTTTATGAATGAGGTATTGGTTTTATGAAGTGCCTCTTTTCTGTTAATATTTTATTGTACATCACCCAGCATCTTTTGAGTAGCCAGGATAAACATATTAACAAACCAGTAAAACAGTTAAATGAGCTATAGAGGAGTAAAGAGATAACCTTGAAGAAAGAATGCAAAAATACTTACATAAACATCAGCTTAGCACTGGGAAGGAAAAAGGGGCACAAAACAACTGCAAGATCACCCCACTTATTGGATTCTTTCCCTTATTGGATTCTTTTGAGGAAGGTTTTGAACTCCTATGAGTTTTAATGATAGCAATCATTCATTTGCTTCTTGTCACAAGCGTACCCTAGGGCTGGGAGGAATCCCAGTCTTCCATGCAAATTTATTTTATTGACCATAAGGGTGAAAATTGCTGTCAGAATTAATAATGATTAATGCTAATTACAGTTTGATCATAATCGGGCTTCATGTCTTGGTGAAGATGAGATGCATTTCATACTAACAGTATCAACTTACTAGATAACATCTGAGAAGTGTACTTGGAAAAAGTTGTATTCATTTTATGCTAACAGTTGTTAAGAATTGGTAGCATAACATTGATACTCTATGTGTTTCCTTATCTAGACCTGCAGAATAATACATTTGCCAGAAGATGGCACTATTTATGTTTGTAGTATATAAACTCTACCCAAGCTTCTTCAGAGAGACTTCAGGAAAAGAAGTGATACCAGTTTTTTTTAAAAATATTTTTTTATATTTAATTTTTCAGTTTAGTCATTTCATAGACCAAATGATGAATAATGGTGGAGCTTATGAACAGGATTTTGTTACTGAGATTGGATTATAATTTTTAAAATATGGTCAATATTAAATAGTGGTGAGCTTTTATTGAATTTGTTGTTAGAGTTATTTAAAAAATTGCGCATCTCCAAGGTGTGTAATATCATAAGAGATAATTTTTCTTTTGTATCATTTTGTATATAATCATTTTGTGTAGCAAGACTGTTTTAAATTAAACTATCAGAGACTACATTAATGTTTCTTCCATGTAATAATGAAACAATTTCTTAAAATACTCTTACTTTATTTTCAAATCTTCTAAGAAATCAAGATTCTAAAGGTATATTTTATACTGGCTTCTCTATAAAGCATAGAAAGTAATGATGCTGGATTGTAGTATCAGCAGTCTCTGGAAATATTGTGAAAACAAGCTATATCCAAATAAAAGTTTTTTGGTTTGAAGTTAGGGATGTGCTACAAATTGGACTTTCACTATCCAAATAGAGTACCATATTCGTTGAGTTTTGTTTTCGTTTTGTTTTTTGCATTACAGCCCATTTTAGCCAGTGCTTCTCATTCATAAGCCAGAAACAGAGAATATTAAACAGTTGCATTTTATTTATCATGAAGACCTGATGTTACCAGAAACTCTAGGCATAGTATATATTTTGGTAATGTTCATATACATAAGTTGTAGATATGGCTTCCCTGAATATTGAAAGATTTGAGGGCAGACAAAAACAAGCATATTTGTAACAGTTTCCTGTCTTCTTTTTCATTGTTACACTTTCGTAGGAGATAAACATGAATAGATAAGTAAGTAGACTTCATGCTTTTTAAAGTAACATATTTTGTGTAATGGCTTACAAATGGCAACATTCTGATTCCTGCATAATTCTATTTTATATAAAGTTGTTGCATTATATACTGTATTTATTCTGAAGTAATTCTCTGTAACATTCTCCCCCCTATTTTCTTAGGGATTTAAATCTAGAACATGAGTGTGTTCTTATGTCTATTAGACTAGAATAAACTTGACCTCATGAAATTCCATTTAGGACTGTTTGAAACTGTGTTACATTGTTTTGCAGGAACCATGATTTTACTTCATTTAAATTGTTAATTATTATAGCTGATTAATGAACTTCAGCATAATACCGTCAGTATTTATTATTAATAAATACTATTATTAATAGAACAGTTTTCTATTAAGTTGGTCTTGCAATCCAAAATACTTAGTTACTTGTCTGCATTGCTACTTCTAGCTTTATTTTTCTAATTTCTGCTTATTGCACCATTTTGTTTTTAAAAAGAAAATCAAAAGAAAAAGATATATTTATTTTTGAGCAAGGAAAAATCTGTAATGGAGACAGCACTTTTTCTCATTTACAGTTCACTTGTTTAATTCCTGGCTCCAGCCTCCCAAACTGAACATCATGTGCCAGAAAAATGCTTTCTCTTCCTTGAAGCTTGGAACTGTTCAGACTCAAGGCTATCCAAGACTGTTATTGCCAGAAATGTGTTTCATTCAGTGTTTGATATCACATTAGATCTGTTAAATGTAATTTCTTTAAAGTTATTATAAAAGCATGTATTATATGGAAAGAAACTGAGAAGATTATACTTAATTCTAATAAAAAATGGAAAAACAGTAAAAAAAAAAAAATTGAAACCTGAAGATTGTCTTGTTAAAGAGACACAATAGCTAGACATACACATGGTGCTATGGCTTGTTTTATATTGTTTGTTGGCTTAGTGAAAGTAACACTCTAAGCCAGAAGCAAATGTACCAGAACTCAGTCAATATACTACTAAAATTTTTAGGCAAACCATCCTTACACAGCATAATATTCAAGTAAAAATGTCATGAGGATCTATTACCTTACCATATTCTATTTAGAGCTCATTCAAAGATAGATGCACCAAGAAACAACTCAAACACCAAAGAACTAAAGGACAGCCCAAACATTGCCATAATAACCCTTCCATACATAAGAAAGGTATCAGAACATGCCAGAAAATTACTCTGACTACTAGGCATTACTGTTGCCTACAAATCCATTAAAACACTACAAAGAATTTTGTGTAAACCAAAAGATTGCACATCCCACCAAGAAAGAACTCTCATCATCTTCCGAGTGAACTGCCCAGATTACAACCAGCATTACATAGGGCAAAGAGAACACCAATTACAGCAAAGAATCAAGGACCACAATAAAGAACCTTGACCTGAAATACCTAGCAGCCACTCATGCCCTCAAAATGAACCACACATTTGACTAGGATAATACAGAAACAATTGACAAAACAGCAGAAGAGCCGAAAATTCCTGGAAGCCAGGCACTCATACAAAGGGGCCATCAACAGAACAATACAACTGGATACCATTTACCACCTAATCAGGCGCAAGTTCCAACCCATTCACAACAGACTGACAAGACAGATCAGTCAGAACAGAACTAACACCATAACCAACCACCAAGCAATGGATGCTTCCCAAGAACCATCCAATCACCACCAACCCCACAGAATTCAAATTTACACAAATTATAATACAGCAAGGTAACCCCCCACTTCTGAACCATTGCGCTGATAAAACTTTGCTGGAAAGTGTAGCGAAACATCTGCAACGATCATGATCTGTGCTTTGGTACAGATCTTCCTGGGCCCAGAAACCCACTAAGAAACAGAGATTCTGGGCTACTGCTATTCCAAGAGACCAACTGAAATGTAGCCCAAAACTGAAGTATTAGAACAGTCTGAGCCATTCTGTCTCTTCCGCATATCATGTGTCAGAGGCAGGTGGTGTCAGAACAGTAAATCATATCAAGGGACAGTCTGTAAGTTGATGTGCAAATTGAATTACATGTTCACATACAGTTACATGCCATGAAAAGTAACTTGTTTGTGGCAATACAAAAATTAATTGGTTTGGGTGATTGTTAAATTTTTCCTTGCATCACACCAGTTTTTTCCTTATGGCTTATTAGGGTGCCCTACCATATGGGAACAATGGCATTTGTACATCAGATTTCCAGAGAGTTCAGAGTTGCTAAGTTTCTTTGCAGAAGTCTATTCCCTCTTGGATTGGAGGTTTCAATATTTTAACATTGGCTTTGTGCTATGTGCCTTAAATTAATTTAAGCTGTACTACCCTGGCCTCATTGGGGTTTACATGAAGCAAGACTCTCACTTCCTATTTAGTATAGACTTGAATGTACACTTCTGGGACTGATCAAATCTTAATGCTTACAATGTTGTCACTGCTTTCTTTAACCCTCGGTATCATGTTGGTCCTGCAGGAGAAGCAGTTTTCTGAAAACCTGGCTGAGTTCATAGATTGTACTTTACCCAGATGTATTTTAATGGGAGTACCTTTCTCTAACTCTGTCTATGCTGTAAGATCTGACAGGATTAGTATGCTTCAGGTCCCATCTATCAAACAGTGCCATCTTATAGGACCCAGAAAAATTATTACAGACTTATTAGAATTAACCAGAATAATACATGCTTTAAAAGTTCCTATTACATTAGTGCTTGCCTTTTGTCTTCTCATTTACAGCTCTTATGAAATATTGTTCCATTATCTAAGAAGCCACAGGCATGTTGCTGTGGCACTTCAATATTGTCCTCCTCTTTGGTGAATTTCAGGTGGTTAATTTACTAAAATAGGGATGAAGAAACTCAAATATGCAAGCCTAGTCTGGCCCATCCAGTTTGTGAGACATCAAGCAGGATGTCTACCTCAAAGTATCTTGTCTACTTTACATATATACAGTACTTTATCTACATTTCATTTTTTTCTTTTCATAGACGTGATCAAAGTCAGTTATCCTTGCCCCACACCTCAGCTTACTCGCATGTAGTAGCTGGAAGAGGTGCAAACAGACATGCTAAGTTACAATCGGCTTAACTTTGCTCCCATCCTTCTTTTCTCTGTCTTCAAAAATTTTCATCCCAAATGGTGAAGCAATATTCCGTTGCCTTGTTTGCTGAGAATTTATAAATGTTGGATGAGGCAGACTAATAATATTTTAGAATCTCTCTGAAATGAGTTGGTTCTTATTTTCTCTAGATGTGGGGCAATTAAAAGTTTAATTCTGGCTTATCTAATGTGTAGGACGCAATCCCATTTTCTTTCTGAGAACTGCTTTTGGCAGATAGCATGCTGACACTTATAACATGCATTCTAATGCATACATTATTTTTACCACCAATTTGAAGTTGGAATGACTATTGACCTGCAATGAATGTATATTTTAGTATTAACACTGCATGTTTCAATCCATCCAGAAATTCTTTTGGTTTGAAATACACATGGTCAGAGTAAATTAATGTTTAAAGCCAGGATACTTTTAGGTTCAGATGGAGTCTGCAACATTTGCAGTAATCCCAGAGAAGCTATTTAAGCAAAATTGCTGACTGTTCTTTATCCTTGAGGTACTGAATGTACAGGTAGGGTTGGCAATGTTAGATAACCTCATTTAATTTAAACTGTCAATATCATTTTTACAACTCTTGAAATACCCTAATGGACAGTATTTGGAAGACATAGAAAATTCTAATCAATACAGTTCTAATGGATTATTCATGTTAAATAAAGAGTGTGTACTGTATGCTAAATATCTTAACTATATAAGATAATAAGTATTGACTAATCTGAGCATTTGGTTAGGAAGTTTTGGGCTCTGGCTTTTCTTATAGTGTATTTTATATGTTAAAAATAGAAAGGTTAAAGTTGCAATTAATACTCATCACATGAGAAAAAAACAGCTCTAGTAAAATACTCTATATCCAATCTTTCATAGTATCAAACCAAACTAAAATATTAGGCAGGAGTTTCTAAATATTGAATAATAAATGTTCTCAGCTTTTTATGCAACTTATGTTACTATAAAGCCACCTTCAATGTTTTCCTTAAATGGGATTCAGTACATTTTTGTTCAAAATTATTTAGATTGGAAGCATTTTATTATCAAATAATTTTTCAAAAGTGATCATTCTGTTCTGTTTTAATGTAAGTTGTGTTCTACTGTATTCAGTTCACAATTAGAATGGGTGAACTGTATCTGACATATGAACAGATACCATCAAACTGTTCCTTGTTCACCTTCCTTCTGCACTCATCTTTGTGCCCTCATTCCTTTGAACAGATCATTTGTGAATGCATAAAAGGTTTGTGGGAGGAAAAATCCATTCCTTTGGTGGATGTTGTTCCATCACTAGGTGGACACAATTCCACGCCTTCTACTATATTTCATTTGTAATAGTTCTGTTCTATAACATTTCTCTATATTAACTGTCAGAATGTTTAAAGAGAGCCTGTAATAACCCCTGTATCATATGCCATCTTTAGATCCATCTAAATATTGTGAATTACATTGATTTTGAGTAACCCCTTATAGCTTTTAGGAATTTTTACTATTGTACATCCATTCGAATGGCACAGTAGTTGCAAGTCTTATTAATGTAGCAATCTGGAAGTTAATCCTGTGCCAAATTGTACTAGACAGATCTTTTATTAAATTTATTTCCAAAAAAGGCCAGGTTTTAGCCTGCTCTCAGTCTGTAAACCTCAGAGTTGCATTCTTTCCCTATTCTGCCTCAATTTAATGGAAGTTGATACATTTTGGACCACCTCACTCCAGTATATATCGTGATCTAGTCTATATATCACGCTAAGCCATAATGTGACTTGGGTGGTTAATTCATAGTGAACATTATGAATTTAGCCATTGTGTTTGTAAACAAATAAAGCTAGTTAATTATGATTTCCTCAAAAACATGGTTAACTCATGGCTCAGCATGATGTATGA